CCCAGCTGCAGCAGGGGAGGGTGAGCCAGCAGCTCTGGTGGGTGCCAGTGTGAAAGCAGGGCAGGGCTCTACCTGGGGAGCAGCTGCAGGGCTGTACCCGGGGAGCTGCAGGGCTGTACCCGGGGAGCTGCAGGGCTGTACCTGGGGAGGAGCTACAGGGCTGTACCTGGGGAGGAGCTACAGGGCTGTACCTGGGGAGGAGCTACAGGGCTGTACCTGTGCAGCAGCTGCAGGACTGTACCTGTGCAGCAGCTGCAGGACTGTACCTGGGGAGGAGCTGTGCTTGATGTAGGTGATGGAGGTGCGCTGGGTGCGGGGGTGCAGCAGCAGCAGCAGCACGGGCTCCAGGATCCGAGCCACGTCGCTCAGGGACAGTGCCCGGATGAGCCAGCCCTGAGCCGCCGCCCCGATGGCCCCGTCCGAGCACGTCAGGCTGTCCAGCACCACGAACAGCGACCTGGGGGACAGAGCACGGATGCTTCAGGGTTTCGGCTTTTATCTCTTTTAAATCCTCCACTGCATTAGTGCATGACTCTGAACTCCTTATGATGCCTGGAAAGGCTGAGCTGGAACAGAGACCAGACAGAGCAAAAGGGATAAAATGGGAATTTATTGAAAGGATTCACCTTGGGCAGTGCAGGAGCCTGGCTGGGGCTACACCCAAATCAAATCCAAGATGGATCCTGGTCACGAGTTTTTACACTTTTATAAGTTTTGGTTCATTTACACATTGGGGTCAATTATCCAAGCACAGCCCCAGGCTATGAAGTCTCAGCCCCCTGGTTTTCCCCTTTTCCCTCGTTGCTGTTTCTGATTTTTGGGTGTCCTTGATTCTCCAGCTACAAAGGGATTGTTTTGTCACTCCCCTGTGAAGAGAACTTACTGACACCGAATATGAATGTTCAGAGTCACACACTAAGTATCAGAGAATCTGAAAAACAGAAAAGCTAAAACCCAAGGCATCACTTATAAAGTGTTAGTTACTGTTCATGCCTTAAGTTTTAGCTTTCGTATTTTCCAGATTCTGCACTGCACTAGTGTGTAACTCTGAACTCCATATAAAGTGTTACAAGTTCTCCTCACAGTTTAGTCAGTTAAAAAAATTCTTTTCCAGCCCCAGAACCAATGGCATGTTGCAGCTTCAGCCCCAAAAAGTGCAAACAGCAGAGAACTGAGGAGAGAATCTGGGAGGATGGGACTGCAGAACCTGGAGCTGGAATTGGACAATGAACCCCAAGATGGAAATGGACCAAAACTTATAAAAGTGTGAAAATCCACTTTTATAAATCCAAAACTGATAAAAGTGTGAGAATTCATGACTGGGTGTAGCCATGGCCAGGCTCTTGCACTGCCCAAGGTGAATTCTTTAAAGGCCTTTTAATAAATCCCTGCTTTATTTCTTTAACTCTGCCCATCCTCTGTTCCAGCTCAGCCTCTTTAGGCATCACTGTCTTCACATTTTGGTCAGACTAAACAATCCCTCTAAGCCTGAGATCCAAGGACACTTTACAGCCTCAGGCCCCAAAAAGTATAAACAAAAGTGAGTTCTGGGGGAGCAAACTGGGGGTAAATGACTTCATCACCTGAAGCTGTAATTGGAGGATTAACCCCTGATATGTAAATGGACCAAACTTTTAATTGTGTGAAAAACTCGTGACCATCATCCATCCTGGGTGTAACTGCCCAAGGTGGATCTGTTGAAAACCTTTAATTAACACCCACTTTATTCTCTTAAACTTGTCTAGCCTTTGTTCTAGGGAGTCACTCCAAGGCATCACCAGCACCAAGGACAGCTGAAATCCCTAAAAAAAAGTTCAATCAAGCAATAAAATCCTGGCAGGGAACACACCCAGAGCATGCTCAGCCAGTGGCTCAGCTCTGCTCCCAACAGCTTTGGCCAAGCAGCTTTTCCTGGATTGAGTTCAGGAATTGTAAAAAAAAAGGCCACACAAATCCTCCCACTTTTTAAGTTCTCTCCCATATTTATTTGCTTTTATCTCATTTTATCCCATAGGAAGTAAAACTAAACTAGGATTTTTCTTTTTACAAGGAGCTGGTGTTATTTTCTTTGGAAAGCAAATTTGATTCACTCCAAGATAAAAAATATCTGCTCTCCAGTACAGCAACTCCTCCTTTATGAAACTTCTTCTATTTTTACAGCAATTTCCTTCACCCAAAAAAGCCACAGCAGGCACAGAGTGCCCTGCAAAGATAAACTCCAAGGAAGTGGAAAATGTTCCTTTTGTTCATTTTTTTACTCTCCTTACAGAGAACTCCTTCCCCTCCCCAGAAAAAAGAATAAAACATGATAAAATTCAATATAAAAATGCAAATGGAAGTGGAAATACCTGTCAAAGGATCGATTGTGAGAAGTCACTCTGCTGCCTTGGATCTCTCTGGTCAGGTGCCACATGACAGAGAATCTGAACAGAGCTTCCAGCCTTGTCCCCTTGGCAAGGAAAAAAGGGAGATTTAGGGAGGTTTCCAAGCTGGATGAAAATGGGAACACATCGGGATCCAGTGGTTATTGGTGGAAAGCTTTAAAAAGGTTTGCAAACTTTTATGTTGCAAAATTGTCAGGACAGGAAAAACAATGGCAAAGACTGGTTAAAGTTTTATTGTGCAAAAAATGTACTGTCAGCTGTTAATGAACTGTGCTGTCATTGTATGAGGGAAGGAAAACCATTAATAACTGGCTCACAGTTCATTGTGAAACCAAATACTAGAAAATCAAGCCAAAATAAAGTGATTTTACAGATATTGGTGGAGCTGGGGCAGTGGGAAATACTGACAAAAACGACAGGATTTGTGTTTGAACTAAAAACTCCAGCTAATATCTAGTGATAGATTTTGTATCCAGGGATTAAATCCAGCACTAATCCCATGCTGAACAAATCCCAGGGAATTGTAAAAGCATGGACAGAGTCTGTCAGACTCCTGGAGAACACAACAACCACAGGAGTGAAGACATGGAGAAGGGAACAACAGGGAATTTGGGAAACACTGGAACAATTCCACAACGCTGGAGGGGCTTCAAAACATGCAGGATTTACTTTATCCCGATGCAGGAGGGCCTGGCAGATGATGTCCTCACAGATATTTGCTGAGGGAGCCAGGCAGTGAAGTCTGTAGAACAATTCCACACAGGCAATGTGGTGCTCTCGAGTCTCCTTGTTCAGCTGATTCCAGAGCACACAGGCAACTCTCTAAGGAAAAAGAGCAAACAACTCAATAGAATTACATTAATAATTATATTAATAACAATTGCCATTTCTTTCCTGCCTTCCTGTTACCAGAAGGCATTCCCAGAATTCTATGAATCCCAGGATTTTATGAATTAAAGGGTCAGTGTAGCTGGGCAGTAAAAAAGGAAAAGAAAATGGACACCTGGTAGAAATCTGTCTTCTCTGAGATCATCTTCAGGACTGCAGGAGCAATGGGAGGAAGGGTGACCATCTGCAGCTTGCCAAGGAAAGGGTTGTGGCCAGACACTTTGTACCTCTTCATCCTGTCCTCAATCACCAGTGCCAGGGACTGGGAGTGGTTGATGACCTCGAGGAGGGTGAAGATGGAGACGTTCTGCACGTAGCAGTCATTGACACAGCAGCAGATTGTCATCAGGGACCTCAGCCACAGAGGCAAGCTGGGATCACCTCCTGCTCACAAGGGAAGGCACAGAAAGGGTCTGAAACAAGCTCAGGGCTGGGAAGGGACAGAAAGGGTCTGAAACAACCTCAAGGTTGGGGTAATATTCCCAAAAATCCTTGAAGCAAGGTCACAGGACCAAAACGACTGCCCAGATGCCATCAGCTCATGGAATCACAGAAGTTTTGGGTTGGAAGGGACCTTGAGCATGGCAGGGACACCTTCCACTATCCCAGGGTGCTCCAAGTCTGGCCTGGAACATTTCCAGGGATGAGGCAGCCACAGGCTCTCCACGTTTTCCCTGCTTGTCCCAGCAGAAAGCTTTTGGAGGATCCTGTAGGACCCAATACCTACAGGATTTCTGCTTTCCCCTTTATGTTTATTCCCAGCTATTATTTAGAGCTGCTGTTCTGTTTTCCAGCTGCCATTGTCACAAACTCCAGAGGGTTCAAGATCCATGGATTCTCTTCCAGTAGCACTGAGGCCCTTTTCAGGATTTATAAATCCATTTCAGGATTGATACATTTATAACTGAAGTGGCTGACAGCAATCCAAGCCATTTTTTCCTGAGGGAACAATGGAAGTATTCCATGTCCATGCCATGTCCAGCCATGGAGATGATGGGAATACAATCAGGTAGCAGGAATATGGAGTGAGGTGTGGAACAGAACCCGATTTTCCAGTTTCCCACCTCTCCATTCCCCACAATTCTATTTGTGAGTTAGCCTTCAGGCCAATGACAGCTCCTGCTAAAGCTAAGGAATCAACTGGAAATCCATGAACAAACAGGCCCCCCAGTTATACAAAATTATTCTTATTTGTTACATTGAACTCCTTTGAATCCTGAGGGTTTGGGATAAGAGATGATTTTGCCTCTGTTATGGTTTAGAGCTCAAATTTTCCACCTACACTCATCTTCCTCTAAAACATGATTTTTTAGGGACCCAACCCATGGACAATAGGGATATATATCCTGAAAATCTTGAACCATGCAAGGCTGGACAGGCCAGGAGGTCTTTGTATCCCTTCAGATCTAAATCTTCTAGTGGATTTTTTTTTTAAAAATTGGAATTTAAAAAGTTTGACAAAATTCAGCTGCCAGACACACCCCAGATGCTGAGGTGAGCGAGGCTTTAATTCACAATTTACCTTCAGCCCTGTCCAAAGGTTTTTACTGGCTCTGGTCTTGAAAAATTGCCAAGCTCTCACTGTTTGCATCCTAAAAATGCTGAGGAAAGGAAACTTTTCTTACCAGGCCCCTGAAACAGAGAGAGGTACAACTGTTCCATCTCCTCCTCGGACAGGTACACTGGGAACGTGGTGCAGTCCAGCAGCAGGTGACAGGCTGCAGAAAAAGCTTCTTTGCAGTCACCTCTGAGGGGTCCCAACACCAGCTCCAAGTCCCACTCCTCCTCCTCCTTCTCCTTTTTGTGACCAGAGCTTTGTTCAGAGAGGACAGGAGAGGAATTCTTGCTCCTGAAGGGCGAGCCCCGGGCTGAGAACAGCTCTGAGAGCATCTGCTTGACCTGAGGCACCGTGATTTGTTTGGCATCCCACGGACTCTTTTTCTTGTTGCCACTCTCAGGTAACCTGTAGCCATTCTCCTTTTTCTCTTTCCCACTCAGATTTATAGCTGCAATTCCTTCAGGACTCATTTCTTGGAGCTGCACCCCAAAAATGTATTTGCTGGCAAACTTGGCAACCAGCTCCTGGATGCAATCCAGAGTTTTTTGGATGCTCCCTCCTTTTTTCCAGACATCATCTCTCTCCAGGGTCACTGTGGGCACCCCCAGGTGCTGGGACAGCTCTGGGGAGGAGGCACTCAGGCCAATGCCACTGTCCTCTGACTTGAGGGGAGGGAATGGAGCCTCCTCCTCATCCTGCAGCACAGATTTGGTCTCCAGGGTCACGTCCACATCTTCCTTTGGCACCGGGCTCTGTAACAGCAATAGGGATGTGGTTAATGTGGCACTGCCAACAGACATTTCACTTGGAGAACAGCAATGACAAAAAAAAAGGAAAAATTCCTGTTTGTGATTTCCAGTTTCAAGATCACAGTTGTTTCTAAACAGCTCCATTCATTTCCTTTTAAAACCCAACAAATATCTGTATAAACCTCACACACTGACTCACCAAACAGAGGGATGTGTTCCCTTAAAACCAATTTTCCCCCCAGAGCAATGCTCCATCTGTTGCATTATTTCTGCTCAAATGCAGATATTTGTTCTGCTGGCACATTTTGGCAGGCTGTGCTTGTGGGGTTGCTTTATCCCATTTATTCCTCATTCCTCAGCATGGTCCTTTGCACACCAACAATGCCCCATTGTGTTCCATTGAAACATGAATTGAAAGCCCTGCAGACCTAACCAGCTGTGAAGCTGGGCTGCATTTGGCAACTCCAGTTTTTAGCTGCTGCATTCTATTTCCAAAACCATTTAGGTCCCATCCTTCTCAGGGGCAGACAAGACTAAACCTCTTCAGAGCTACAAATAATTCCAACAGGCCAGAACTGAACACACAGTGAGAGTAAAACGAGATCAGAGTGCTTTGGAAGGAGCTAAAGAAGGGAAGTTTCAAAAAAAAAATCTTTATTGTTGTACTTAAAAATTTCATAGAATTATAGGTTTGGGTTGGAAGGGATCTTAGAAATGATCCAGTGCCACCCTTGCCATGGCAGGGACACCTCCCACTGTCCCAATGTCCAACCTGGAACTGAACATTCCAGGGATCCAGGGGCAGCCACAGCAAATCTGGGAATTCCATCCCAGCCCCTCCCCGGTAAGAATTCCTTCCCAATATCCCATCCAACCCTGCAATCTTTCAGTTTTAAGCCATTCCCTGGGTGCTGTCCCTCCATTCCCTGGGTGCTGTCCCTCCATCCCTTGGCAATTGTCTCTCTCCACGTTTCCTGCACCTCCTTTCAGGTTCAATTGTCACCCAGGCTGAAGGAGAATTAGCATTTTAAATTCTGTCCCGAAATTATTTAAACCAAAAGTTTTAAAGGGTTTTACCCATCTCTGAGGGGTTGAAAATCACCTACCCCATTGCCACTCCCTGTCTCCATGTCCAGGTAGGAAGGGGGCATTTGCACCTTGCTGAGCACCTTAAAACAGGTTTTTAAGGCATGAGTGAGTTCTGGCAGTCCCAACACTTCCATGTTTTCCAGGAGAGACTGCACCATGTAACTGAGCATCTGGGGCAGGTACTGAGTCTGCACTTCTGAGTAGAGCTCCTGAAATAAATAAAGGATGTTGAAAGGAGTTATCCCATCCCATCCCATTATCCCATCCCATCCCATTATCCCATCCCATCCCATCATCCCATCCCATCCCATCATCCCATCCCATGCCATCCATCCCTGCTCAGTGAGTGACAAAGCCAGCCTTACCAAAGGAATGACATCCAGCAGGAACACCAGAAGTGTGCACAGCTCTGAAATGGTAGGAGGAGTGCTCACATTTTCCAGAGGATACCTCATCCCTGTGGATTTGTTTCTGGAGTAAAAGAAACATTATTATGTAAGATTTTTTTGTTTTTTTTTTTTCTCATGGGAAAATTCTGGTTCCAAGCAAAAAGCTTCATTAAAATCAGCACAAAATACTGAGCAGCTCTGAGGCAAAAGGCTTCTAACAGAGCAGGAGAAAATATTCTGTCAAAACAACCTCAGCTCTGTGTGGTTTTTCACATTTTCACGTTGCAGAATTTTCACATTGCAGAATCTTCTTTCTTAGAGTTAGAAAATGATAAAAAGAGCAATATCATAGAATCACAGGGTTGGAAGAAACCTTAAAGCCCATTTAGTATCTTTATTTTTTCTTCTATAAAGACTTCTCCACCTCCCCTCCCAACCCTTTTTCCTTCTTCTGTTGTTTTGATAGGAATTTCTTTTGTTTCCAGGTTGAAATTTCCATCTAGTTGTTTACCTGGTAGCATTCCTGAATTATTTGTGGACCCAACTTACAGATCTGGCTGCTTCTACCATGTGTGATGTCCCTTAAAAGCTTCAGTAAATATTATTATCCTGAACACACAGCTCTGAAGTGGCATTTTTGAGAGCACAACATAAACACCTGAAACAATCTTCAAAGCACTTGGTCAGGTAATCCCAGAGGAAATCAGTGCTTAAGGATGTGATCAACAAATTCACTGTTTTGACAATTTCTGAAGCATTTTTGTTCTCTTTGATTGCACTGGAAGAGAAAGAAAAGAAAAGCAGATGTCAGTGAGGATTCACTCACATGAGCTGATGGAGTCTAAAATTTCTTTTCCCCTTTCTCTACATGCTAAAAACATGTGGTTTTTTTTTTTAAATCAAAGACTAAATCATTCTGGAATGGCTGGAGCATCTCTCAGATGATGGAAATCACAAGGCTGAGCTCTGTCAGCAGCCTGGTGTCACTGTGGTTACTCAACACCAATCACATGCAGCAAACTTCACTTCTTTGCTAATCCAAGAGAAATTCACTGTGTGTGGGGAAAGGGGAAGCCAGAGTAAAAAATTCATCCTCTGTCCAGAAAGTCACTTTGTTACAGCCCAAAATTTCATTAAACTCCTTCATTTTAACCATTTAGCTTAAAAAAAAAAATAAAAATCCAGGTTCAGCTCAGAGTTGGAAATTTGTCAAACCTTGCCAGGGTGTTGCCACTTTGATTGTAGCTGAGTTTGAGATCAGAACCCAGGGTGTCTTTGCAGTAGGAATAAAAAGCTCTAAGAACTTCCAGGAACAGATCCCCAACAACCTGTGGCCCTGCAAGGAAAGGGAAAAAAGAATCCAGGAGTTGTCTACAGAGGAGGGGAAGAAATTATAATTTCAGTGCCCTAAACTTGGAATAATTGAAAAAAAAAAAAAAGTAGTGTACAAAGCATTGCAATGAGTGCTTTTAAAAATGAAAATATAAAAGTTTAAGTGACTAAGAATAGCAGAAAAGGTTAAAGTTTGTTATGTTTGATTTGATACCTATAAATGATTGTTGCATTGTTAAATCCATTTCTAAAGGGAGTGAAAGTCTTAATGGCTTAAGGCTCAAGGAGTCAAACTTTATTGCTGACTGGAAAGATTAAACTGGATAATGTAGTTGAGCTAAATATCCCTGATTTAAAAGGGATTTATTATCCCTTCATTTGTACTTTGGATTAATGCAGATTGTCAGGCAGCCAAGCAACACATCCAGTAGGGCAATGTCTCTCATTTCCTTTCTAAATTAGATTAATCAATACATTTCTAACAAAAACAACCAGCAGCATCACTCCCCACCCACAATATTTCAGAAAACCTTTCAAGCCACTTAAATTCTTTGGTTCAGAAAGGTGAATTTGCTCTTGAAATAAAGATGGGCAGAGCCTCATCCCTGTGGTGCTGCATGGACACAGCAGGACAGGCAGGGGACACAGAGGAGCAGGAAAACTGCAAGGAACAAACTGAGCTGAATGTTGAGACAAGGGTGGAATTGTTTCTTTTTAAGCGTCCCTCAGATGCCAGTTGAGGCACAGAATCCCAGAATTATCAGGGTGGGAAGAGATCATCCAGTGCCACCCCAGTGCCAGCAGCATCCCCCAAACCCTGTCCCCAAGGGCCACATCCAGCCTGCTCCTGAACACTCCCACAGACAGTGACTGCAAACCTCCCTGGGCAGCTCATCCCAAGGCCTGACCACTCTGCCAGGGAAATTTTCTTTGCCAATCTCCACCCTGAGCCTGCCCTGCTGCAATTTGAGGCCATTTCCTCTCCTCCTTTGCCTGCCCCTCCTGGCAGGGACTTGTGCAGAGCCACAAGGTCCCCCCTGAGCCTCCTTTTCTCCAGCCTCAGCCCCTTTCCCAGCTCCCTCAGCCCCTCCTGGGGCTCCAGCCCCTTCCCAGCTCCCTTCCCTGCCCTGGACACCTCCAGCCCCTCCAGGGCTCTCCTGCAGGAGCCACAACTGGACACAGCCCTCGAGGGTCTCTCAGTGCCAGCACAGAGGGACAATCCCTGCCCTGCTCCTGCTGGACACACAATTCCTCATCCAGCCCAGCTGCCAGTGGCCTCTTGGCCACCTGGGCACCCCTGGGCTCGTGTCCAGCCCCTGGCACCAGCACCCCCAGGTGCCTGAGCAGCTCTCAGGACATTCTGTCCCCAGCCTGTAGGATTTGGGCTGGGTTGTGCTGACCCTACAGCAGGGCCCAGATTTTGCATTTCCCTCCCTGGGATCCCTCCCTGCTCTGCAGGGCTCTGTGGGGCAGCCAGGGAGAGCCTGGAGAGGGAATTTGTCCCAGAGCAAGGCCAAGGCAAGGAACAGCCTCCTGCACATTCCCACACAAGAGCCAGGATTAGGATTGTGCAGGGTTTTGTTAAGTCCCACTCAGATTTGGGACAGACACTTCACCTATTTCAGGTTTGTCCAGGAGGCTGATGAGGATCCTGAAGGGTTTGAGATAAGCCTGGTGCTGCTCCTCTGGGTCACACTCAGGGAATTTCTGATGCAGAATCACAATCAAACTCTAGGAAAAGGAAAACATCACAATGTTATCCATCAGAAACAAACTGTCATCTTATTAAGAGCTGAAGTGTTTCTAAATTTGATTTTGTTTGGGATTGACTTCAAACGAACTCCAATTTTCCATCCAGGGTAAACAAATCAATTCCATCTTCCCATCATCTCTACTCAAGGTCTGATCTTATCCAGAGAAACATTTTTAAATAATTCAGGTAGTTCAGCCAAGATGCTTCCTTTTGGTTTCCTTAGATTCCATAAACAATCCAATATTGGGATAAATACAGCACAGAGGCTTCGAGAGAGATGGAAATGGAACCACAGGGACAGAGGGAGAAGGACAAACCAATAATTGGGAATAATTCTGGACATAGTTTGAGCTAAAATTTAAAAAAAAATCATGAATCTATCTGGAATACATCTGTATAAAATGAACACCAACCTCAACCAAAAGATCTTTAGAGTATTTTCCAAAGAAATAAACTGCATGGTCTTCAGAAGTGGTGGAGTCTGGAGCAAAAGTGCCACCTTTAATATCAGAGCCTGCAAAAAAACAGAGACAGGAGGAGCTCAGAGAGCAGCACAGGGCACTGAGGGGTTTATATTGAATTTACACTGCATTTTTTATTTTTTTTGCATTTCAAGAGCCCACAGGTCCCAGTTTGAGGGCATCCAGATGGTCAGCACAAAAAATAAATGCAAACCAAGGCCAAATATAGTGGGAACCACTATTTCTTCCAGAAAAATCAGGTTAAAATACAACTTTTAGTCCTTTTAGTCCACTGAACAACTTCAAAAAAAGCTGTGGGTGGAACCAGAATTGATCAGATACCCTGAGATTCAGAGAGAAATAAATTCACCTCTAAGAGAAACCCTGTTTGCCAAATATTTAATTGTATTAATGCACTTAATAAATGCCAAATAAACACCACTTTACTTTATCATCATTCATTAACAGCTAATTAGTGTATTTCAATTTTAAACACTGATTTTTTTTTTTTTTGCTCTCAAGTATCCAGAACATTGAAAATCCCTGGATTTTGCACAGTACCTAGCAGCCATGCATACAATCTCCTGTTGAGGGACATGTCTCTCCTCAGCAGTGTCTGGGTGGCTGCTGACAGGATATAAACCAGATCAGCCCTTCTCAGCAGGATGGTGCTTTCCTTGCAGTCCTAAGGTGGAAAATAAAGATTTTTTTTTTGTTGTTGTTGTTGTTGGTGAGCACTGAAAGGAGTCAAATCGGTGATAAGTTGGGTTTTTGAACTGGGAATATTCATGTTTGGGGAAAAAAAGTAACAAAGCATGAACAGGGAAATGGTTTGTGTGCTAAAACTGTCAATGTGACACAATGCCAAGGGATGTGAGAAAAGTGGGATCATGGAGGCACAGGATGGGATGGGATGGGAGGGACCTTAAAGATCCAATCCCACCCCTGCCAAGGGACACCTCCCACTGTGCCAGGCTGCTCCAACCCCAATGTCCAACCTGGAATTGAACATTCCAGGGATCCAGGGACAGCCACAGCAAATGTGGGAATTCCAGAGCTTCTTCCTACCCTCACAAGGATGATTTTTTTTCCCCCAATATCCCACCTAACCCTATAATTTTTCAGTTCAAAGCCATTCCCTGGGTGCTGTCCCTCCATTCCCTGGGTGCTGTCCCTCCATTCCCTGGGTGCTGTCCCTCCATTCCCTGGGTGCTGTCCCTCCATTCCCTGGGTGCTGTCCCTCCATCCCTTGGCAATTGTCTCTCTCCATGGTTCCTGCAGCTCCTTCAGGCCCTGCAAGGCCACCCTGAGCTCAGCCCAAAGCTTCTCCTCTCCCTTAAGACTTAAAAATCCTTCCTCCATCCTAAACACTGCCTGTCCTCCAGGGAGGTGAGGAAACAATGGGAATAATTTTTATTTTAAGTAAGATTTTTCTCCCCTGCTCTTTACCAGTAATAACTTCAAGTGGACAATTCTAAATTCTAAAATCTTACTTGAATAAACTCTTTATTTTTTCCACATGAGCTGCTCAGGTCTGAATACTTCAAGCAAATCCTAAATATCCCCCCAAAGCCCCTGTGAAATCATTTCTTCAGCCTTGGAAGCTGTGAAGACTCTGAGAAGCAGCAGAGTCTCCTCCACTCCTCAAACTGATGGGGCACAAGAAAACCCAAAATTCTTGGATTTTGAAGGGATAAAATTCAGCCATTTGGCAATAACAAAATTCTGCTTGCACAGAACAAACCTCCCATGGGACAATCCCATAATAATCCCCTTACCAAAGCTGTATAAAATGGGAAAAAGAAGAGGATTGCTTCCAGAGTGTTCCTCTGCACAAGGACATTGGAATCCAGCACTGACACACACAAAGACTTTATCTGGAAAACACAACATTTTATTTGATTTTCCTATCAAATAATCACAGGAAGGAAAGGAAGAAAATCTGGCTACCTATGAACAGTATTTTATTTAAATAGGAGGATAATTACAATTTAACTCCTGCACCCAAACTGAGTTAGAACAAATTTCTGTGCATATGAAAAGAATTGTTAATATTGGGTTTGTAACAGTACAGAATGTCCCAGAGTTACAAGATGTAAAAAAACCTCCCAAAATGCAGATATTACTCTCATCAGCTTTACACTCATTCCATCACTCAACACAAATTACTCCCTACAGAAGATTTCCATGGAAAAAAAAAAAAGAAAAGGGCATAAAATTTCAGAACAGCAAACACTTTGGGAGCTGCACTTTAAACACTGAAACCTGAAAATCTGCTCTTCAAATTAACTGGATGAAGCAATTTCATAACATGCACCTTTCAGTCTCTCTTAAAATATTTTTAATTACACGGCATCTTAATTTACTCCAGAGAAGGCTGAGATTATGGGGTGTAAAATGAACTTACTGTGAGTTTATGATCAGTGCCCAGCATGAATTTCTGCTGTTTGCCAGAGAGTTCCCTGTTGATGTGGCTGACCACGAAGAGGGAAGCAGGGAGCCTGATGGAGGGGCTGCCCAGGACACTGCCCCAGAGAGCTCCATAAAAAACCTCCTGGCCCATCAGCAGGGACAGCTTCACCAGCAGAGCATCTGTTCTGTACACACAGAGAGAGAGAGAAAAAAAAACCAACCCTTTGTTAGCTGATTTTATACCACAGAAATGGAATTCTAGAGTAATATATTATAAATATATATTAGATAAATTTATATAATTTATTTACATCTAATATTATATTTATATATATAAAAATATAATAAATGATACAGTTTATTTGATGTTTTGCAGCTTTGTGTTATCAATATTTAATTTTATCACAGAATCTCGGCGTGGTTTGGGGGTTGGAAAGGACCCAAAAATCATCACATTCCACCCCCTGCCATGGGCAGGGAACTTTGCCCCATCCCAGGTTGTGATGGATGAATCTCACTGTGCAAAAAAATAATCAAACCCACTCAATTCTTTGTCTCTGTTCACACACACACTGGAAAATTCTCCAGGAAATATCTGCAAATATTCAGCTCTGACCAAACAACTGCAGCACCTCTGATTGCAGAATGTTTATGGTCAGGGGTGTGAAAAGATAAACTGGAAGTCATTTAAGGAGATGCTGAAGCCTGAAAGTCAATTTTAGCAGTCTGGGAGCTGGAGGTTATTAAAAAAAAAATTCCTATTTTCAAACCACCAGGGTTAATTTTTGAGGCATTGGATGAAGAAAAACAAGAGATGAGAAGTCCCCTGGATCCCTGGAATGTTCAGTTCCAGGGAGGTGTCCCTGCCATGCCAGGGGTGGCACTGGGGGGGGGATTTAAGGTCCCTCCCAACCCAAACCATTCCAGGATTCCATGAGATAAAAAAACCAAATTGCACATAAAGACACCCTGACATAAATTCCAGATCATCCCTCTGAAAATCCTGTGCCTGCAGCACATTCCCTGCTCTGGAATACTTTGGTATTTTACCATAAAAGAGGAATTAAAACCTCATGTGAGGAATGCAAGGTTGAGAAAAGAGGAAATACCCTCCCAGTGTGATGTTCTTTTCCATTTCTTTATCAAAAAAAAAAAAAAAAAAAAAATCCCTCCAAGCAGTTTTCCTCTTCCATTTTCTGTGTGAGTGCACAAAAATCAGAGAAATTTGGAGCTGGAAATGGTGTCCAGGCTGAAGAACAACCTCAGCACTTTGTTCCTTTTCAGGAACAGCAGGAGATGGATTCATTTTAGTCCTCAATATTGAAGGTTCTGAAAACATTCAGTGGAGAGAATCTCATGAAAAAGAATTGAAAATTAACCTGACACATCTTTTGACAAGATATTCTTAACACAGAATCATTGCAATGAATAAACAAAAGAAAAACTCCCTCGTGTAAATTGGTATTTCACAAAAAAACCCCCATTAAATTAATTTTAAAACCCCATTAAATTGATTTTAACAAATATTTCCCAAGATTGATGAAACATATGTCAGTTCCTGTCAGATCCTGTTTGTTGAAGGCAAAGAAAAAAAAATGATGCCATCAAAAATAAGGGAAAAAGGTGCAAAACCAGAGGTCAGATCTTGAAAATTCATCTGCAATTCCCATTAATTCTCTGCTCCATGTTTTTGGAAGATTATACAGAAATATTGGAAATAATTCAGCTGCTCTCTCATGTTACAGAATTCAAATAGAATTTATCTGCAGAGCAGTGGTTTGGGGAGTCAGGTGAATTATTTAGGAGTCAGAGGAGCTTTAAGAAAATTTTTATTCTTTTCTCTCAGCATTTCTATTTTTAACTATCCTTCTCCTCTTCTGTTTTTTTAACCCTTCTTTTCCTCTTTTTTTAAACCCTCCTTTCCCTCTTCTCTTCCTGGGATAAAAATAGAGGGGAAAGGTTTTTTGTATTTTCCAGTTCCCACCATTCATCCCCCTCTGGAAGCTCTTTTATTTATAGAAATCTGACAGAAATTTCCTGAGAATTCCCTAGAAAAATCAAAATCTTGGATATTGTTTCAATGAATATGGAATAATTAATATTACCTGTCATAAATTTCTGATCCTTCTTCCAAGCCAGGCAGCAGCCCAATTACAAAGGCCTGGAGACCAGGCAGGAGGGATTTTTGGAGAGGGAGAAAATATTTCTCATACAGGCCAAGGAGAACAGGTCTCACTGACATTGCTGCATTTGCCAGCAGAGGGAACAAACCAGAGCTTTAAATCCAAAAAGAAAGACAAAATAAGAATTAATGAAAATAGATTGAGATGGTTACGCCTTAGGAAAAAAAAAAAAAATTCAAATTATTTGTACAAAAATAAAGCCTTGCTGAGCCGTTTTGTTCCTTAGGGAAAAAAAAAAATAAAAATTCAAATTACCTGTACAAGAATAAATCCTTGGCAAGCCATTTTGTGCCAATGATTTTAAAGATGATTTCATAGGTTTCTAAAGCCTTTAAGTGAACCCCACTGGGCAGGGCTGGGTGCAAGCACTGGGATAATCTTTTACTGATGATCAATCTTCTGGGCAGCAGGGAATATTTCAGGTTACTCTGCAGAGCCTGGGGAGAAAGGAGAGAAGAAATAATTATAATGTGAAATAGAAAATGATCTAGTGGCTGTTTATTAAACAGGAGGAGAATGTCGAGGAGAGTTTTAACTCCTAACTGCATTTTTGTTCCAGCAGAACTCTGCAGCTGAGTTTGGATTTGAAAAATTTCAAAAAGTCTGGTCTGAGTGTGCTCAGAGGAGGGGAAAAGGAAATCAAAGAACAGGATTGGGACAGGGAATCCTTATCCCATCTCCAAGGAAAAAAAGGGAAGTGACAGGAAGAGAATCTCAGCTTTTAGAGAATAAAAAAAGAATTAAAAATGATAAATTCTCACTTTATGTATGGAATGGTGGAATGGGTTGGAAGAGACCTTCAGGATCATCCTGTTCCAACTCCTGCCACTGCCCCAGGCTGCCCCAAGTGTCCAGGGACACTCCAGGGACACTTCCAGGGATGAGGATCCCCTGGAAAACCTGAGCACTTTGCAAAGCAAACCTTGCAACCCAAGCAGAGAGGATGAAATGGGACAAACCCCTCTGATCTGGAATTCTCTGTGCTTCAATAACTCACTGCATTCTCCAAGTAAAAGATGTTTAGGACAGGAAATACTGAAATAAGATTTGCTGCTGGCTCAGGTTTTAAGGAAAACTTTGCATCCCTTCCTGGGAAAGGGAATTCCTTTCTTTGAGTCACCCCAGCATTTCAGCAGGGAAATAAATAAGTTTTAATAAATAAGAAAATTTGCTCAATGTGCAAACACAAACAGATGTTCCAGAGCACGTGGACATTTGGGATATTTTCAGGATCAGGTAAATTCTTGTCTCTTCCCAAAATTAAATCATGGTTTTATCTTTTCAACTTGAGGTTCTTGTATTTTTGCTTGGAAGAGCAGCAGGAAGTGGAATAACCTTTCTTGGAATAAACCTAAACCAGGTGACTTAACCCAGAGCACTCCTCAGCAGGAAGGGGAGGAGATAAAATCCAAACCTTTTGGGAAGAACAACTGGCAGGGAAATGCACTGGAGAAGAAAAAAAAAAAAAAAGGTTGAGGGTTTATAAGAAGAGCAAACAGAAATGTCAGCCCACGCTGGCAGACACACAGATGTCACTTAGAGCCACTTCATTTCCTTCCTTCCCTTCCCCAGCATGGGCAGAGCTGCATTTAATAGATGATAAAAACCCACAATTAAAAAAAAAATAAAACATTATTTCGTATATTTGTGCAGTTACCTTTTTTATACCTTTTATATATGACACGTTTCCCCCCGTGTTACGTGAGGAATGTTATTCCAACGTGAAAATCCTTAAGAATTGTAAGAACTTTGAAGATTTCTGGAAAGCTGGACTTTGAAACTTTCTATTTATATTGCTTGCCATGTATTTGCCCACACCCTCTCTGTATATTTATAGCTATAAAAGGAATTAATTACAAAAATAATCAGGCCAGTGGTAAATATTTTCCCCTCTAGGTGTTCAGACTGAACAAATCCCATTTTCATATTCCAACAGTTTGAACTGAAATATCAACCAGGCAGAAAATAGAAACATTCACTGTTTATTACACAGAGAATTGGCTCCACCACACAAATAATGGCAAAAAATTGGCTCCAACATTTCCTAAGGATTTGAAGGGAATAAGAACTCACTTCCCCAAACATCAGGGAGAGATAAAGTGAATATTTACAATCATGGAATGGTTTGGAAGGGAATTTAAAAATCATCCAGGGATGGGCAGGGACACCTTGCACTATCCCAGGGTGTAATGGGTTAATTGCACCACTTAATTAGTGCCTTGTCTTCATTTTCTTCTGCCTTCACTCACAGTCAGGATTAAAAACACGAAGAGGAATTTTCTCGTGTTTGGGCCCAGTTTTTATTAAAACTTATTTAAAATACAGAGAGTTCTGCAACACTTCCAGCCACCAGCTAAAAGTGAGCAAAAAATGGAGGCAAATTGAGCTGCTACAAGATCTCTTAAAGCTAAATATTCCAACAAAGAACTAATATTTCTATTATTTATACTTTTGACCCAATAACCAAACTCCTGTGACCCTCAGTGCAGCACTGACTGTCCAACCAGAAATCATGGAGAAGAAGGAAGAAGACAGAAAAAGACAACATCCAAAATTCTCCATCTTGTCCCTTACCTATCACTATATTCTAAAAATCCAAATTAAAAACCCTTCACCGTGTGAAATCACACATTTCTATTTTAATTATACACCAGTGATTTTAACTCCATCACTCAAATTCTGAAGTTTTCTCCAAGGGCTCAGGTCCAAAGCAGTGTTCTGTAGGGGGGCAGTGCCAGAAAGCTCAAAAATCCCAGAAAGCTCAAAAATCCCAGGTTTGTGGGATCCAACACCAGGGTGCTCCAAACCCCATCCAAAATCCCCTTGGACAATTCCAGGAATCCAAAACTTCTCTGTGCATCCTGTGCCAGGTCCTCCCCACCTTCCCAGTATCCCATCTTATTAAAAATTCCCACTCATCCCCTGATCTCCCAGCACATTTAGGAATTTTAAA